CACATACACACACACACAAAATTATCACCCAGACCCCAATTTCTCGACGGAATATTTTCCTCCCCCGGGCAGAAAATGAACCATTATTAAAACAACACGGCGACCGGCTGGGAAAACCCATTTGCAGCGATTTATATCGCATCACCGCGGCTGGCTGCCTAGAGGAAATGGGAGGAGAAGCGCCGGGTTTAAGCACTGGGTGAAGAATCGCGTTACATCAGAGGGAGAACAGATGGGTGTTTTTCGTCCCCTCTCTCCCCCTGCTCGGGCTTCGAGTCAGGAATCCATGTCAGCCCTGGGTATGTTCTTGGTGTGATGCGGGCGACTCTGGGAGTAGGCGGGCCAGGCTGCTGGGCCCCAGGGGCCAAGGGGGGGCTTGGGGCCCAGCCAGGATGCCCTGTCTTTCTGCCCGCTTCCTGTGGTGCCACATGGGTCGGTGGGCCCCTTGATCTGAGCCCCTTCCCCCAATCACCTTCTTTTAATTTTTACATTTTCTTGTCACCACCTGGGATTTTCCTCTCCTTTTATTTCCTCCCTCATCCATTGCCTCTTTCCTCGAAAGCAGTACCATGTCCTGTCCCTTCACCCCCATGGCGGAACGCACAGCAGTTGGTCAAATATACGCAGACATGGGCTAACCCACCATTACCCCGCGCATCATGTTCTGACGTTATCATTTATGCGTCTGCCCTCCCCGCCAAGCTGTGAGCACACTCAAAGGAGGGCGCTCTTTCATTTCTTCCACTCATTTATGGATCCACGGTACTTCCACCCCCAAAGAAAGCCTGACGCACAGCCCGCGTTGGGGTGGGGGGGTGATGCGAGCATGACTGAGTCATTTGGCCGTTTAAAAGCCATCAGTGGCTTCTCTCCTTCAAAGTTGAAACCCGTTAGCGTGGCTCTAATGGCCCCTCCCAATCTAGACCCAAAACACCTGCGCAGTTTCATCCTAACACCCCGCAGCCGCCCGGGACCCAGGCACTTTCTAGTCAAATCCGCTGGGTGGTCCCTATCTCACCCATGATGCTTTGCGTGGCTACCTCTGAACATTTCCGCACCTGGATACCCTGCCCTGTCTGTGTCCACCTTTTGAAACTGGGAGTTTGACGCCCAGAGCCCAATCCAGCCCACGGATGTGATTTGCTTGGCCCATGCAAGGTTCTTAAGAATTGTAATGAGTCGCCACCTTTTAAATATCAGGCAACTGTTGCATAAAAATCTGCGCTCCTGGCTTTCCATCAAAAGACGCAGCCTCTGTGAAGCCGAGGGCACACGCCCAGCGCAAGGCGCAGCGCTCAGTAAGGGCAGCCCCACACCGAGGAGACAGCACAGCTTGGCCAGCTCTCATGCGGTGAGTAGCTAAGGGGACTCTGGACCCAGACGGAACCACTCAACCTTCCTGTTCTGGAATCTTCTGCTTGCCCACCTGAAGCAGTTCTCCTGGCTTCTCCACCTAGCTTGGTTTCCTGGGAGGCTGGGCTGTGTGGACCCCAACAGGCTTCTGGGTCCTCTGGCTCAAGTTGGATTCAGCCCATGAGGACCCCTGTGGTGGTGGTGGTGGGGAAGTGAGAGACATATCTGTCCCTCAGTTTGGTCCCTCACCCTGTGGCCTCTGTGGACCACCTGTGTCCCTGTCACTTGAGGTCACGGGTTTTCCCCATCCACGCAACCTGTGGTGTTTCCGGCTTATGGCAACTGCTCCCTCCCCTTGCCTCTCAGACCTAAGTGTGCTAACCCTCCCCCCTCTACTAGCCCAAGGTGTGGCATTATTCCTTGTGGTTCCCTACATCTGTCCATGCTTTATAAATTCGTCCCTTCGTTGAACTCTGATCAAATTACCCAATTTGAATGCACCCTTTGTTTCCTGCCTAGGGCCCTGACTGTGATACAGCCTCTATGCCTCAGTTAACCCACCTGGTAAATAGGGATAATACCTGCCTCTAGAGTTGATGCAAGGGTAAATGAGTTAGTACTGTGTAAGGAGAGGGCTTAGCAAGTGCTGATAAATGTTAGCAATTATTATTATTCTTTGCCACAGTCCTCACCACTCCTTATTGCCCCCCATCACTGAACTGAAGGTCACGTGTGCCACTGCTGATGCAGTTGTCTTCTTGACCTGGCTGCTCAGCATGTTTATATTACCTGCTGTCCTCTATAGGCGTGTGTTGTCACCAGCTCTCTGTTGTCACCTCTGCTGCAGAGTTCCCAGGCAGTCCTCCACCCCATGGGACGTCCATCCCTCCATGTGCTCCTCCATTAACAGTGATCCCAGGAATTCCCTGGTGGTCCAGTGTTTAGGACTCAGCGCTTTCACTGCCATGGCCTGGGTTCAATCCCTGGTCGGGGAACTAAGATCCCGCAAGCCTCACCGCGTGGCCAAATATATATATATATATATATATATATTGGAGTGATCTGTTCAAATGTTTGCCTTCCTCACTGTACCACAAGGCCTTCCAGGGTCTTCGTAAATGTTCAGAGAATTGAATATCAGGGCCTGTATTAGTTCCCTAGGGCTGCTGTAACAAAAGACCATAAACGGGGTGGCTTAAAATAAGGAATTTATTCTCTCACTGTTCTGAAGACCAAAGTTGAAATCAAGATGTCAGCCAGGTGGTGCTCCCTCCACAGGTTCTAAGGGAAGATCCTTCCTTGCTTCTTCCAGCTTCTGGTGCTTCTTGACTTGTGGCTGTGTCACTCCAATCTCTGCCTCTGTCTTCACATGGCCTTCTCCTCTGTCTTTGCCCCTTCTCTTCTAAGGATACTTGTCATTGGACTTGGGACTCACCCTAACCAGGATCGTCTCATCAAAAGAGCCTTAATTAGGGCTTCCCTGGTGGCGCAGTGGTTGAGAGTCCGCCTGCCGATGCAGGGGATACGGGTTCGTGCCCCGGTCTGGGAAGATCCCACGTGCCGCGGAGCGGCTGGGCCCGTGAGCCTTGGCCGCTGAGCCTGCGCGTCTGGAGCCTGTGCTCCGCGACGGGAGAGGCCTCAGCGGTGAGAGGCCCGCGTAGCGCAAAAAAAAAAAAAAAAAAAAAAAGAGCCTTAAGTATATCTGCAAAGGCACTGTGTTCAAATAAGCTCACAGTCCCAGGTTCTAGGTGGACATATCTTGTGGGGGCCGCCATTTGGCCCACCAGCCAGGTCCCAACAGCTTCTGGAGCCCTTAGCTTTCTTGCTTTCTCTCTTCATTCATTCAGTTTTTTGAAGCCAGTGGAGGCTCAGAGCCTGGAAGCCCAGCCTCTGGCCCCTGGCCTCTGGCTCACAGTGGGTGGTTCCCTCCCCCACCCCCAGCCCCACCTACAGGGCGCATAGGTCCAAATGTCACCCAGTGGCCCTCTGTTTCCAATGCAGGCCGAGCTCTCAGGAAGTCTGCTCCTCTGTGAGCTGCCGAAGAGCTGGGGTGAGCCCCCATACACAGAGAACATCCCCCCACCCTGCAAGTACTGTGGTGGGAGTTTATCAGCCCTCTGTGGCATCAGGCTGAGCTGAGCGGTTGTCATTTCTCTTCCACGTGTCAGAACTCTGCATTCCCTTCAACAGTTCACAGGCTGGCCTCTGACCTGCCTGCAATTTCTTTCCAGGGCTGACAGGTTGGGTTAAGAGAGACTGCTCCCCTGAGCCGAGACATACTTTTTGCTGCAGCCCTCCCCTTGCCAAGAAGGCCCAAAGCTCCTGGCTCTGCACTTTCTCTGGACAGAAACTGTTACCTCACTTTCCTACCATCCCCTCCCTCCATTGCAAAATGGCCAAGCTGGCCCAGGGACCAGTTCTGTTCAGCCTGTTTGGGTTAATGCTTTTTTTAAAAATATAATTTCTTTTTGAGGTGAAAATTCACCTAAGATTAACCATTTAAAGTGTACACTTCAGTGCATTTTTGTATATTCAAGTGTTGTGCAACTATCACCAGTATCTAATTCCAGAACATTCCTATCATCCCAAAGGAAACCCCGGACCCATTAGCAGCCACTTTCCATTACCCCCTCCCTTCACCCCCACCCCCCCGCAACCACTAATCTGTTTTCGGTCTCTATGGATTTGCTTCTTCTGGACATTTGATATAAACGGAGTCATGTAATCTGTGGCCTTTTGTGTCTGGCTTTTCTCACTCAGCATCATGTTTTTGAGGGTCATTCATGTTGTAGGGTTCACTCTTTTACTGTGAAGCACATACTTCTAAAATACAGTTCTGTGAATTTTTAAAATATGTTCCACCCCGATCACCACCATAGCTTAAGATATAGAATTTGCCAGTCCCTTGAGAGCTCCCCAAGGCCACTTTTGGGTGAGTGCCTTGCCTCAAAATATCAATTTCCCAGTGGTCCTCACCTGAAGGTGATCGTGCCATCCCACAAGGGACATTTATCTCAACTAGGCACATGCTACTGGCATCTAGTGGGGAGAGGACAGGGATGCTTCTCAACATCCTCCAATGCACAGGATATACCCCCTACGACAAAGAATCGTCCAGCCCCAAATGTCAGTGGTCCAAAGTTAGGAGACACTGGGCTCCCCCGACTCCACGGATTACTTCTGCCCATCCTTGACGGTCACAGGAATGTGATCATGCCGTGAACCCTATTTGTGTCATGTGCATCATGCACAGGGCTGTGTATGAGTTCGTACCTTGTTCTTTTCTTTTTGGCTGCATCGGGTCTTAGTTGCAGCATGCAGGATCTTCGTTGAGGCAATGTGGGATCTTTCGTTGTGGTGTGTGGGCTCTTCATTGTGGTGCGCAGGCTTCTCTCTAGTTGTGGCATGTGGGTTTTCTCTTCTCTAGTTGTGGTGCACAGGCTCCAGGGCGTGTGGGCTCTGTAGTTGTGGCGCATGGGTTCCAGAGTGCGTGGGCTCTGTAGTTTGCGGCACGCGGGCTCTAGTTGAGGCGCCCAAGCTCAGTAGTTGTGGCACACGGGCTTAGCTGCCCCGCGGCATGTGGGATCTTAATTCCCTCACCAGGGATGGAACCTGCATCCCCTGCATTGTAAGGTGGATTCTTTACCACTGGACCACCAAGGAAGTCCCCATACTTTGTTCTTTTTCATTGCTGCACCATATTCCATTGAATGAGTATACGCCAATTAATTTTCCATTTGCCAGTCGATGGTCACATGGCCGGTGTCCAGCATCTGGCGATGGTGAATGAATCTGCTATGAACATTCATGTATGTGACTTTTGGTGGCAGAAGCTCCCATTCCCATTGAGAATAAACCCAAGAATGGAATTGCTGGGTCAGAGCAATTGACAGCAATTAGTAGATCAGTCTGTGAGAGTTAAAGCTCAGGGAATTTTGCACAAAACCCCTGACTTCTCTCTTGAAGAGTCTATTCTGTCAATTCCGAGCCTGACTTCCCCTGTAGTAGCTCTCAGCTGAAGCTGAGCAGTACCAAGCGGCTGCCGGCTTAAAAGGGGGTGCATATCCAGCTCCCCACAGCTGTCACCTTCCCTCCTCGCTGCCTCACACCTGCCCCATTTCTGGTTTTCTTCCCTTGTCAGCATCTGGCATTGAGGCCCCTGTCCTGGGCTCATGCAAGTTCGGGAATCACTTTTCACCTTCCTCCTGCCCTACTGCAGCCTGGACCCTGCTGGCGTTTTTCTTGGCAGCATCCTCAGAACCTCCTCTCTGCCCAGACCACCAGGGTCTTCTATCTTCAGCTGGTGGGCTCCTGCTGTCTGCTTACAGGTCACTTCCCCAGGGCAACCTTCTCTGAGCCCCCTGGCTGGGTAGCGCTCCCAGGTTGAACTCTCCCACAGCCCCTAACTGTCTTCCATCCCTCACATCGTGGATTCCTTACCAGTTCCCAGTCAAGCAGGACTGCATCTGTCTCCTTCATTTGCCCACCACCCAACTCAATGCACAGTGAATACTGGCCATGGGGCATGGGGCATGAAGAACAGAGAGAGCCCTCCTGCCAGGTTGCAGAAGCAAGCTGGGTTCCTAGGCAGAGCTTGACATGCACACATCACTCCTCAGAAGCTCCTTCCCCATTGCTGGCCCTAGGGGTCAAGGCCTGAGAAACTACCCTCCTCGCCCGTCCCCCCCCACAGTCTATACCAGCAATGGCTGGCAAAATGCAGGGCCCCTTCCCTGGGATCCTTAATTTCTCACAGGCCAGGCCCACCCCCCAACTATCCTAGCTGCCCATGCACTGTCAAAATGTCCCCCAGTCACGTCCTTCACCTCCAGGACTCTCCCTGACTCCTCACCTGTCTTCCCTCCACCAACTGTGCTCTACGCCCTCGGTAGTCCCCCACCTCCACCCCCCCCCCCCCCCCCCCGCCAGACCCCTCCGCTTTCCCTCCTCACCCCCCCCCTCTCCCACCCCCTCCCCCCCCCCCCCCCTTCTGCTCCTTACCTGACTCCTCCAACCTCCCCATGGCTTTATTTTCTCCCCCCCTTTCAGCAGCCCCCAAGTCGGACACGCTCAGCTCTCTCCTTTCACCCGCACTTCGTCCCCTCACCCCGGACTCCTCCCCTGGCCCTGCGCCCTTCACCCTCCTCCCCTGGCCCCTGGGACTTGCCTCCAGCGCACCTGGTGGAGAAGAGGCGGGGCCTCCTCACCTGGCGGCCACAGAGCAGCGGGGCAGCGGCCCCTAGCGGCCGGGGAGGGAAGCGCAGCCCAACTGACCTCCCCTCCCAGTTGGTGGGAATGGACCACCATTGCTGCCTGCCTAATGTTGGTCAGACAGGACGGGGGAGGCTTCCTGGACTCTTGCCTTACGGGAGTGAGGATGGTGGAGTGTTTGCAGTTTTCAATAGCGTGATCGAGAGGTGACATTTGAGGGCTTCCCTTCCCTTCCCTGGTAGCGCAGTGGTTGAGAATCTGCTTGCCAATGCAGGGGACATGGGTTCGAGCCCTGGTCTAGGAGGATCCCACATGCCTCGGGGCAACTGGGCCCGTGAGCCACAACTACTGAGCCTGCGCGTCTGGAGCCTGTGCTCCGCAACAAGAGAGGCCGCGATAGTGAGAGGCCCGCACACCGCGATGAAGCGTGGCCCCCGCTTGCCACAACTAGAGAAAGCCCTCGCACAGAAACGAAGACCCAACACAGCAAAAATAAATTAATTAATTAATAAACTCCTACCCCCAACATCTTAAAAAAAAAAAAAGAGGTGACATTTGAGTAGTCCTGATGGGGGAGGGGTGTGCATGGAGGGAGGGCGTCCTGTTGGCTCTGACCCTATGCCTCAAATCTGACCACTTCTCCCCAGCATCCTGTTCCAGGCCTCCATCGCCCTCACCTGCATTGACTGTGAAATCCATCACCCCAGTCTCCTGGCTCCCTCTCAAATCCTCTCTATAATTTTGTTTTAATTGAGGTAAAATTCACAAAACACAAAATTAACCACTAACCATCTTAAAGCGAACTATTCAGTAGCATTTAGTATATTCACAATGTTATAACGTTGTACAACCATCACCTCTATCTAGTTCCAAGGCATTTTCATCCTCCCAAAAGGCAACTCTGTATCCAGTGGCAGTAACTTGCCCTCCCCCCTCCGCCAGCCCCTTGCGATCGCCAATCTGCTTTCTGTCTCTATGGATTTGCCGGTTCTGGACATTTCATATCAAGGGAATCATACAATACATGACCTTTTAGGTCTGATTTTTTTTCACTCAGCATAATGTTTTCAAGGTTCATCCACATTGTAGCATGTATAAGAACTTCATTCCTTTTTACGGGTGAATAATGATTATACAACATTTATTTATCTGATCAACCATTGATGAACATTTATTTGGGTTGTTTCCATCTTCAGACTTCTGTGAATAGTGCTGCTGTGAACGCTGGTGTACAAGTATCTATTTGGGTACCTGTTTTCAATTCTTTTAGGTACTTACTTAAGAGTGGAATTGCCGGGTCATATGGTAATTCTATGTTGTATTTATTGATCCTATGATCTGTTACATGTTCAAATAAGACCATGCCATCCCCCTGATCATAGTCTTCCCTTAGCCCCTTCTGTCACTGAGAATCTAATCCAGACCCTCCCCACAGCCTCTCAGGCTGTGTCTGGTGGTCCCACCAAGCTGGCCCTCTTGCTCTTCAAATTGTCCTGTCTGTTCCAACCACAGGACCTTTGCACTTACTGTTTCCTCTCCTTGGAACACCCTTCCCCCAGATTGCACATGGTCTCAGCTCAAATGTCTCCACATGCACAACCCTCCCAGCCACCTTAGCCTAAATCATACTCACCCACATCCCATCTCATGATTCTTCATTGCTTTTTCCTTCATAGAATTGTTCACATTCTGAAATTTTCTTCTTGTTACTAGTGAATCACCAGCCTCCCCAGTAAAGTGCAAGCTCCAGGAGGACAGTGACTTTGTGTTTCTTATTCACCATCATACCCTCAGCTTCCAAAACAGGGCCTGGAACCAGTGTCAGGACCAGGGTGAGGCAAAAAAAGAGAAAGCATATTTTAATGCAATACTTAAAAAAAAAAAAAATTCATGCAAAAATTCATGATGAACAAAATGTCAAAATCTTCAATAAAAAGATAGCACCAGTTTTCCTGACGTTCCCTTTCCCCTCAGGCTCCAATGTGGCTCCATACGGCACTCATATTGATCCTGCCTTTATTTATTCTTTTTTTGCGGTACGCGGGCCTCTCACTACTGTGGCCTCTCACTGGTGTGGCCTCTCCCGCTGCGGAGCACAGGCTCCGGACGCGCAGGCTCAGCGGCCATGGCTCACGGGCCCAGCCGCTCCGCGGCATGTGGGATCTTCCCGGACCGGGGCACGAACCCGTGTCCCCTGCATCGGCAGGCGGACTCTCAACCACTGCGCCACCAGGGAAGGCCCTGCCTTTATTTTAAAAGTTGATTATTTTGGTCAGTGTGGATTTTTTACATGAATTTTGGGTTTCTTAAATATTGCATTGCAATATTATTTTTCTTGATCGCTGAGTTTTTTTGACATCCTCTTAAGTTTTGTGGCCCAGGAAGTGCCTCATTCGCTTCATCCCAGTGCTTGCCCTGTCTGGAGCTTAGTATTCGCTTCCTCCATCTGTTGGTGTTTGAGGATGAATGGATGAGCCAGAGGGAAGCTGGGAGCCAGGCAACCACCAACACTTGAGGAGCAGGGCAGCGGCTCCAAGCGAGGTCCTGGGTCAGGCAGTCCTACTCAGAAGCTGACTTCAATTTTTTTAACTACTTGGGCAAGCCTCAGTTTTCCCTTCTGTAACATGGGGAGAAAGTAACTACCTCACGGGGAGATCATTAATAGTAAATGAGGGACTTCCCTGGTGGTCCAGTGGTTAAGACTCCATGCTTCCACTGCAGGGGGCACAGGTTTCCCTGGTCAGGGAACTAAGATCCTGCATGCGGTGCAGCAAAAAATAAAAAACAATAAAGATAACCATTAAAAAAAAAAAAAAGACTAGTAGATTGTATGATATGTGAATTATACCTCAATAAAGCTGTTTTAAAAAGCCAAAAAATAAAGACTAAATGAGACTCGGTCCACTTCTCAGCCAGCCTGGGTCTCTCCTCAGTCACCTACTCAGACACCTCCACTTGAATATCTATTAAACCAAATGTAACTCCTGGATCTAACCTCCAAAACCACCCCTCCTTCGAGGGTCTCCATCCTTCCAGGTGCTCAGGCCACAGGCTTTAACCTGCCTCTTTCCCTTGCATCCCACTTCCCATATATCTGCTCCACCTTCAAAGTACACCCAGAATCCACCCGGTGCTCACCTCCTGTCACCTCCCTGCTCCTACCCCAGTATTGATCACCTGGACCAGTGCAGTCGCCTCCTCCCTGGTCCCCCAGCTTCTGCCCTTGACCCCCACACTCTGTTCCCCCACCAGGGCCAGAGGGCACCTGTGAACATCTAAGTCAGGGCACATCCCTCCTCTGCTCAGAATCTTCCATTGCTCCCAGCTGACTCCAAGCAAAAATCAGTTCTCCCCAAAGCACACTAGGCCGGCACGATCTGGCCCATTACCTCCCTACCCTCACCTCCTCCTCCTTTTGCCCTTACTCCCTCCCTCCAGCCACACAGGCCCTCTCATGGATCCTTTGAACACCCAGCATGTTTCTGCCTCAGGACCTTTACATGGGCTGTTCCCTCTGCCTGGAACCCCCTTCCCCCAGATCTCCCCATGACTCCTCCCATCTCTTCAGGTCTTTACCCAAATACCACCTTCTCAGTGAGGTCTTTCCTGACCTCCTCTATCTAAAATTTCTGTCTTCCTTCCTTAATTTTCTTTTTTTTTGCGGTACGTGGGCCTCTCCCGTTGCAGAGCACAGGCTCCGGACGCGCAGGCTCAGCGGCCATAGCTCACGGGCCCAGGTGCTCCGCGGCACGTGGGATCTTCCCGGACCGGGGCACCCATAGCACTTATCATCATCTAACACCCTGTATCTTTTGTCTGATTTCTCATCTGTCTTCCTGATTGGAATGTCAGCCCCAAGAACAGAGAAGCTTGTCCGCCTTGTTCACTGCTGTGCCCCCAGCACCTAGCAGGTGCTCAATACATGCTTGTTGACTGAATGCATACCTCCCCCCACACCCAAAGACAGCAGTTGGAATTAATCCCCGCCCACGCAATATCCCCCCAGCTCAATTCTGGGACCACTTTACCTGGCTTTTCATTTGAGTGAAGGCATAGGACAGAACGGGGCTCAGTCACTGCCCAAGATGGGGGTACAGGGAGCTTCCAGGAGAGTCAGGGGCACACAGAACCCCACCCATCCACCCCTCAAGGCTTGGACAGATTCACCATCCACTACCCTAGCCCCCTGCTCACTTTCCAGAGCTACTTCCATCGTGCTTTCTGTAGCTGCCTTACCCACGGGATGGGGATGCACCCTGAGAGGGCCTCCAGTCCTGCTGCCAGGCCACTAGGGCATTCTCAGCACCTAGCACCCGGCCACACTGAAGGCTGTCAGGGGTCCTCTGTGTTTGAAGAATAAATGGAAGGAATGAATACATGAACCGAATGATGAGAAGACCCTCAGGGTTGTACATCCCGTGCTGAGCGGGCTCTAGGAAGAGCCGGGCTGGGGACGCCTGCTGGGCAGTGGAGGTCTGAGCGTTGTTCCTGAATCCAGGAACGTGTTTCATCCCCAACCCCAAGCCCCGCTCCCCCCTCGCACGTGTTCTGGGTCTGCGCCCCTCACCCATCCCCCAGCCCCGCCACACACCGGACCTAAGGAACCCAAGGTAGGACACCCATGACTGAGGGCGCCAGGCCTGAGACAGAGGACACAGAGCACTGGGGACAGGGGAGGGTGGAGGAGCGCAGCGCCCAGGACGGTCAGCATAAGAGCCTGAAGCAGTGGGCACATCACACATGGAGGGCACAGGGCAAGGGCAGAGGGCACAGGTGAAGAGAGCCATCCACGTCTGAGTACAGGGTGCCCCAGGTGCTAGGTGCGCAGAATGTAGGGTCTCCAAGACGCCGGGGGATCGCTACATGGCGTGTCCTAGGCGTGGGGCAACCTGGGTGCGGGGGTTTTCTGGCACAGGGTGCAGAGAAGAGTGGGACGTCCAGGCTCAGGATGCACAGGACGTTGGGTATCCAAGGTGCGGGTCACGCTGGGCGTGGGAATCCCGAGGCACAAGGTAGGATGCCCGAAGCGAGGAGCGCCCCGGTAGTAGGGAGTAGGGCGTCCTGGGCGCGGGGACGGACACGCGCAGTGCTGGGCACTCAGAGCCCGGGAGAGACTGCGCGCGCGCGCGCGCGGACGCGTTAGTTTCCGGAGCCGGGCTGCTGGCGCGGCCTCCACTGCGACTGCGCAGCCCAGGGTCTTGGGAGAGAAGAGGCGCTGGGGCTGTTTCGCGCCCCCAGCCTCTACTTATCCTTCGCCTCGTGAGCCCCTCGCCCGTGAGGCCAGAAAACCGAGATGGAATGGAGGCTAGTGAACTGATCCCGGCCACGACCAGGGGTGCTCCGCTGACCACGGGCTTTGGGAGAAATAGGAGGGGCTGGGAGGGCGTCCTGGCCAGGATTTTGCCAAACTGAGCCGGGGGTTTCTTAAAGCATGTCTCTCCTTACCCTAATATAAGTTAAAGACACTGCCTCTCGCAGCCACTGAAGAATGCAAGGTAGAGCCATCTCCCAGGCACCCTCATAGGTTCCCAGGGTTGCTCCACAGAGGGAGGTGGGTGGACTGCTTAGGACCGGAGGGTGGAGTGGTGGGAGGAGGCTTGGAGCCAGAGGGCTCTGGAGATGCTCAGCTTTCCGAGATGCACGTTCTTCCCCCTTTCAGTCCTGCTGGATTTATAGAAAGCTGACTGTGTGGATGTGGGGGGAGGGTTCCTGGTTGCCCCCTGTGGCACCGCCCCCTCTCCCCAGCACACCAAAGCCTTCCGTGGGTCCTACCAGGTGCTGTCGAGATGCCTCAAAGTGGGAAATTGATGTGTGGAGACGTGGAACCTCCCCCATCCTCCCATCCTGGTATTGCACCAACCACAGATGGATGGGATCCTTTCCGCAGCCACCAACCTCAACTTCATACGTATTTGGTCCCTCAGATCCAGCTGATGGGCCGGGTCACCCAGATTTAAGGCCCAAAGTCTGCAGCCAGGGAACCCTGGGTGTGAAGGAGGAACAAAGGTAGCCCACCTACTCTCTCCACCCCTGAAGTTTGGGTGCTGGATTTGGCCCAGGTTCCAGGCTATAAGAATCCCTGCCCTGAAACGATGGCTGCCCACAGCAGGGGGCGTAGGGTGGTGGGTGCCTTAGAGGTAGCCCCTGGTTATCCAGCCAGCCTGGAAGTCTGGAGTCTCTGCCTTTCCCTAAATTCAGCCACAGCCACCGGGACAGGCTTCTGGGAAGGGATTCTTAGAGGACAGGTTAATTCACTTGCAGATGTTCCCTTTAGGCTTTCTTAGATATTCATAGTTCCCATCCTAGCCTGCCCCAAGTTTTGTGTATTTACCACGATGCCACCTGCCCCGCTGCTACTTCCACACTTTCCCAATTCCTCACCCATTCTGCAGAGCCAAGTTGGGGTGGTAATGCATTCTCTTCCCTGGAGGTAGAGGCAAGGGTTTGCCCCCCTCCCCATCCTCAGCCAGTCCCCTTCCTCTATAATCCAGATCGGGACTTGTCTGCCCTACTCCCCCCACTGTTGCCCGCTCTGTGTCTGCCAAGATTCAGCCCGGACTTTGTATGAACTGGCCGGTTTACTATTTAGGTCTCCCTTGGATGGACTCCCTTCCCCGAGCATCCAAGCCAGGGATTTGCTCCTCCCCACCCATCAGTCTTCGCGTTGCACCCATCTTTCATAAAATGCCAGGCTTCCAGGTTCGCTCTCCCGAGATCCTCACCGGATCTTACCTCTCAGGACCTTCCCGTACCCGCCCCCCTCAAGGATCCTTGCCACCCCCCTCCAGTTTTTCCTCAGCCCCCACCTTGCACTGAGCTGTCTATTCTGCCCAAGTGCCTATTTTTGGCCCGGGACCCGGTTTTATAGTCCCCACTGTGGGTCTTGGCAGTCACATCTCTGGCTCCGGGGATCTAAGCCAAGTCGGACTGTCTTCCCCACCCCGGGGTGGGGGAGCGGTGCAGGGCTCCCTTCGGTAGCCTCAGCCTGAAACCTGCCCCTCGCCTCACTCGGCCAGATGCCTAGGAACACGCTGGTTCCTTGCCCTACTTCTTCAAGTCCACCGGCTGCAGTGCAGTTGCTAGGCTGTGGAAATCCGTACCGAGGTTTTGCTCTTGCCAAGAACCTAAAATTCAATTTTTTTTCTCCCTTCCCCCGACCCCCTCCCAAAGCGAGACGTTTGAGGTGTTTATATAGATACTAACCTCCCCCTAACACCCCCCCCCTCCCCGCTCCTCCGGCCCGGTCAGCTCCAAGCCCTTGTCCAGTTGCCAGGGATCTTTTGCTGGGGGTCTTGTCCCATCCCGCCTATTCCAGTCCTGGCTTTGCGGCCCTCCCTCGCCTTTCATTGTAGGTCTGGTCTCTCAGGGTAGCGGCCTCCTCATTGCATTCCCTGCGCATCACCCCTGGATTGTGAAACCGCTTTTACCTGCCCGCTTCGGTGCAGCCAGCGCTCCGGATCCTTTCGAGTTCGAGTCCATCCCTCCTTTTGCCCCTCCTTCTTGCACGTAGCTGCCAGGAAGACGGCCCACGCGCCTTAGCCGCTAAGCAGCCCCCTCCTGGAGCCCCCTGCGAGCCCAGGTCTGGGAACTCTAGGCCAGGTCTTGCTTGTTCCCACTGCATTAGGCATGACGCATTACTCCGTCTCCCGAGGAAGAATCCGGCCCGAAATTTGCGTGCCCCGGGTGCATTTGGCCCTGTCGCAGCTCCCTTCGTTCCTCCCATCTCTATCTAATCCAACCCGGGTTTTGCATACCTCTTCCAGATCTCTCCCATTTCTCCCCTCACCGGGCTCGGCGCCTTTCCGTTACTTCGCTACGGGCAAAATCCGCCCCGGGTCTTCCTTGAGCTTGTCTCCCCTCCTCCACTTCCCGTTCCAACGCCGGGATCCAGCTCGTCGCCTTCCCTCTCCCCGTTTTTCCAGAGGGGCTAGAGGGGGTGAAGGGGAGTAAAGTCCATCCCGGGTTTTCGGGCCTGCCGCCGGTGCGCTCGGGCAGGTTGCTGCGGCCGGTCCTGGGCGGCGGCTCCGCGCCGCGTTTTATGCGCGCCCGCGCCCCCCTCCTGGAGCTGGTGCGCCGGAGAGAGGGGTGAGCAGGCGGCTTGTCATTGCTGGTGCCCGGCGCCGGCTCTGTCCGCGCGTCCTGCGGTGCCCACGGGCCCGGCTGGGCGCCCCCCCTTCAGCCACCCCGGGGGCGCGACACCGCCTCGCCTGCCTACAGCCGCGCCCCCCCTCAAGCTCCGCGGCGCCCGCCCCCTATCCGAGCCCCCTGCGGCCACTGCGGGGAGCCCGAGCCGTCGGCGCGGGAGCTGTAGTCGCTGCGGCGCCCCCGCCCCGCCGTCTGCCGAGAAGGCCCCGGCGGATGGGGCCCCGCGGGCCCCGGAGCGGCGCCGCCGGGCGGCGGGGGGCTGCAGGGGCGCCCCAGCTGCCCCGTTAACCCCTCGGCTGCCACCGTCGGAGGGGGCTGGGAAGTCGCCTGGGCACACACGTGCAGCCTCCGTCGGGGCCGCGGAGCTGCGGGGGAGATGCGGGCAGCTGCTAGCGCCTCTTCGGGGGGCTCCGCCTCGCCCCAGCCCCCGGAGCTTTGACACCGCCCCCGCTCCGCCGCCTACCTCCCTGGGAGGGGCGCGGACCCGGTCGCCCCCAGCCCCGAGTCTCCGCTGCCGCGAGGGGGCCGCCTTTGGAACTGTGTAATCCGCTTTTTTTTTTTTTTAATTTTAATTTTTGTTTGGTGGCGGTGGTGCTGGGCCCCGCCAACCCTCGCCCTTTTAACCCCCGCCCCGGTTCCGGGAGATGTGCCGGGCGGGGGACCTGGGTTCGCGGAGCCGCAGGAGAGACGCGCAAAGCCGACCCCGGAGCGGCGCCGGACAGGTGAGTGTCTGCGGCCCCAGGGCGAGGGGGACGCCGTACCTGGGCCAGGTGTGTGGGCCGAGGTAGGGAGGGTGGGAGCCGGGGCCTGTGCTAGCCGGGAAGGGGGAGGGGATGCTGGAGCCGCGGGTCACCGTACAGGAGCGCGAGGAGAATCGAGGGCGGCCTGCACCTCACCCGCATCGGCCAGCGGACCGGGAGGGGCAGCCCCCATGGAGTGTCGGGGGTGCGGATGCGCGGCCGCGGGGTGCCCGGTGGGGGGAGGGGACAGCGAGTGTGCCCGCGCGTGGCTGCGTGTGCCCGCGCGCGCGCCAGCCTTTGTGGGGAAGCGGCGCGGCGGTGCCTGCGTGTCCCCGGTGCGTGTGCGCGCGGGTGCTTGGCGCCCTGTTCGTGTAGGTGTTTGGGTGTGAGCGGAGAGGGTGCGTGTGCGCGCCGCGCGCGGGCCCTGGCCCCCAGAGGAGCCGCGTTGGGGGCTGGCACCGCTGGATGCCGGGCTGGGGGTTGTTTTTCTCTGGGAGGCAGAGGCGCGGGGGATGGGGAGGGGTCTGTCTGGGTGTCTGGCCGGCTGTAGCCACCGAGAGCATCTTCCCTCCGCGGTACCCGGTTAAGCGTGGGAAGCTGTTGGGTTTAATCCACCCGGATTCGGGCTTTGAGAGCAAGCCCTCCCTCTCTCCCAGGTGTTCACTGGGTAAAGCCTGGGGGTTTCAATTGTCATCTTTCCATCTGAGGGTCCCGTGACCGGAGTCCGTGCAGAAGAGGGTGGGCAGCGCTGTGTGTGCTCCAGCCCTGGCCAAAAAGTGGCCCCACAGGCATTTCTCCAGTGCACCTCTGGCACCCATCCGAAGACAGCCAGCCCCCTGCCTGCACACAGCCCGCACGCACATCCCTGTCCCTAGTCTCCCAGTCTCGGTCAGCACCCAGCCCCATCCCTACCCAGCACCTCACTGTACCTTCCCCCGCAGTCCACTCCTCCCTCCCCCACCTCTCCCCCCGACAGTCATGGCAGCTGAGTGGGTGTCCCTCTGTCCCAGCCTTGAGAACAGGGCCCCCTTTCCTCCTGGCTTCTGCAGGACCCAGGGCCTGGGTTCCGCTGCCCACCTCCAAACATGTGGTGTGCAGGGGGAAGCAGGGGGAGGGGTTCAAAATGGCTGCCAAGATGGCTGGTTGTCTCTCCGCCTCTCTCTTTCTCTTTCTCTCCCGCTCTCTGCTTGCCCTGTTCTCTTAGCTGCTTCAGGAGTCATCGAGGAGACCGGGTTGGACAGTGTGAGGATAGGTGTGGGGTACTACGCTTGAGAGTGGATATCTGCTCTGGGCCTGTGGATCTCAATCCTCCTTGGGGAGAGGCCGTTGATCTCTGCTCCTCTCTCCAGCACCAAGGGCCGGCATAAGCCTGTAACCTGACCCCAGTCCCAACTCCTTCACCCTGGCTAGCAGCCTGGGGGCTCCCTGCCCTCCACGTGGTCTCCTAGGCCTGATGCCCTGAATCGGGCATCGGGGTGTCAGGGTGCCCCACGGAGGGTCCCCGTCTCTCATCCTCTCCATCTGCTCCATGGCCAGGGGCTCAGGACTCCGGGTCGGCCTGGGTCAGGCCCCAGCTCTGGGGGCAGGTGACTTCTCCTTCCTCCCCACTCCCCTCCCACTAATGCCAAATGTATTACTTAAAAGTAGGATGAAAACAGGGAGACTAAGAGAAGGAATACAACTTTCATTATCATATTGAGAAAGTTATCTGTGATCTTCCTAACTAGTAATTTGCCTGCCATGCTGTTCAGAACTGACTTGCCCATTAATTACGGAGATGAAAAATCATCTGGAAAGCAGAAAAGGGAACCAATTCGATCCCTGGCTGGCAACAGTGGCCCCCACGCACCGAGCACATACGTGTGTGCTCACATGTGAGTGCCCGGCCCCCCTGCTGCCATTGCCACCTTCTTCTTCCTCATTGGCCTCCCACGGGGCCTTAGCTCACCCCATGCTTGTTACTCCTGCTCTCCAGTGCCCTACCAGGCCCTCCCTCACTCCAGGGGGTGCCCATCCCAACATCCACTCGTGGGGAGCTGGCCTAAGGCAGGATCACCCGTGCTATGTCTGCCCTTGGACGTGGATACGATGCCCGGGGTTGGGGGAGGGCAGGTAGCTGGGGACCAGCGCATCTGGGCTGTGGGGCCTGCAGGGAGGAGGTGGAACGCAGGAGACTCGAAGCCTGGTTTCTATTCCCAGCCTGCCCTGGGGAGCCTCTTCTCCTGGGGGGCCCAAGGAGGACCCTACCGGCCAGTGGGGGAGGGGCCAGCGGGCGCCCTGGCTGCTCTGGAGTCTGTTCGCATCAAGCGATCTGGTCCCGGCTTGGGGTCCACCTGCATGTGCGGGGCTGCCTGCTGCCTGCGCCTGGCATCTGCGTCCTCCCTGGGTGCCCAGGCTGGCAGGAGAGAGTGTGGCGCTTCAGCCCCAGCCTGGGCATCTGGGGGTGGGGGTGCCGATCCCAGGAGGCTGTGCTGCTTGGCCCCAAAATGGGTGCCCGTGATGGAGAACAGGAGGAGAGGGATCCCCGATGTCCCCACCCTCTGGCCACGGGGAGCTGAAGTTTTCAGTCTCTGCCCCCTCCTACCTCTCCAGCCAGACGTGTGGCCAAGGACACACAGGAGGCTCTGGTTTCTGTGTGGGCTCCTCTCGAGGATTCAATTTCCAGACGCCAGACATTTCCCCTCCTCCAGACCCTCCAGGGAGGCGGGGGGCGGGATGGGGGGGATGCTCCTGAGATGGGGGTTCCCTGGGTCTGGAGCTGGACCTGACTGTACCGGCACTCCTCCCAGCTCTCGCCTCGGCCACCCTGATGAAACAGAAAGTGGGGTCCCAGGTGGGAGGGGACCACTGAACAGAGGTCTGGAAGTGGCTCCCACTGCCCCTGGAATCCAGTCCTCTGTTACACATCTGTCCGCACCTGTGTGTACCCGTTCTGTGTGATTTGGATGGTGACCTGGAGGAGCCTGTGTGCAGCCGGCCACGTGTCCGACAGGCTGGTCCTATGTTCATTAAGGGTCTCCTCTGTACTCGTGTTTGTGAGTTTTGCAGAGGGGCTGGCAGTGTGTGTGTGCGTGTGCGTGCGTGTGTGTGTGTGTTTCCATGTGTGAGCAGCTCTCTGCATTTTGTGGGCACCTGCAGGCATGCTCCCAGGTGTATGTATGTAGGGCTCCTTGGAGTGAGGCTGGGTGCACCTTTTCATGAAATCTGTGAATATTTGCCAAGTGTCTTTTCACTAGGCGCTGTGCTGGGGACGCCGTGGGGACAGTGCCCCAGTCCTGTCCTCAGGGAGCACACAGTCTGGTGACAAAAGCAATTTCAGTCAAGGGGCTCCTGTCGTAGCAGTGGGGGAGAAGGCTTGTGTCTCCCCATCCGGAAGGGCCAGAGTCCCAGCTGGGGAGAGGCAGCCATTGACTCGGAAAACAGCAGCCCCTGCGTCTTGGCACCACAGCACATCCCAATCCCGTGGGGTGTCCTGTGGTCCAAACCTGCATGACCTTCCCTATCACCTCTTCCCCCTCACCCGCTCTCTCCTCACCGCTCCTAAACGCAGTCCTACCCCAGGACCTTTGCACTGGCCGCTCCTTCACTTGGACCCCTCAGCCAGACATCTGCAAAGACTTTGTTCCCTCACCCGCTTCAGTTGTCACCTCCTCAGTAACCTTTACCCATGCAACCTGTTTAAAATTGCAGCCTCCCACCCGCCTCCTGGCTTTCCGTCGCGTGGATGGCTTTTCGCACACTCTGTGATTTCCTGATATATTGTGCCTGTTTATCGTCTGTCTCCCCGACCAGGATCCAAGCGCTCAGGGAATTTTTTACTTGGTTTGCTTTCGGATGTCAGGTGCCTAGACTTATGCCTGGCCCACAGTAGGTGCTCAAGAACTCTTAGCTGAGTAAGTGGGAGGGGGCCTCTCAAAGGACTGGAGACCCCCAGGGGACTCCCCCCAGGCTTTGCACAGTGAGGGCTCCCCATCGACCCCGGTCCCTTTGGGGGATCCAGGGCTACCCACCAGGGGCCAGACCAGGCCAGCTCTGCACCTGTCCCATGAAGACACCTGTGAGGCCTCTCCCTGAGGTGGCCTCATGGGTGCTCTTGTGTGTGAGGGTGTCAGTGTGGGCAGGCGGCTCCCCTGCAGGGCCGCATGCATATAGGGTTTAGAGCCTGGAGGGTAATGTGGGGCCCCCCTGCCCTTGCCAGGGGTAGGAGTGCCATGGTCAAGGACTGAGCAACCCCTCCTTTGTGGGGACACTAACCCAGGCTCTCTCTCACGCCCCACCCTTGTTTCAGTGGTCTGTCCCGGCGCTGGGGAATTAGCCAAGTAGAAGCCCCCCTGCCACCCTCCCCCCAACTCCAAAATTTGGGGAAGACAAAAATTGCAATA